TATTAATAAATTCTAATTAAATAATATAAACACTATTTCCAGTAGATTATTTGTTTGGTCTTTGCAAACATTTCAATAAACTGTATCTTTGGTTTGGTTCCCTAGGAAATAGACTCTGAGATAGCAATTTGCTTGTAGGAGGTTTATTGGGAGATGCTCTCAGTATCAAGACTCCTGAGGGAGTGAAGGTAGGAAGCCTGGTTGAACTCTACAATGCCTTAGGGAGTTCTGCAGGTGAGATGACCTCTCAGAGTTGTTATGAACTGAAGCAAGGAGATTGGTCTTTGTATCCATGCATAGATCAGAACTGAGGAGAGGGCTTCACTTAGGGTGAAGCAGCCTCTTTGGTCTGAGGGCAGTTCCAGGGGAGGGACTCAGCTGAGAGTTTGAAGTAGGCAACACTCTAACAGCATCTTGGGGAAGGAGTGTCTCAATCTGATCGGTGGGGAATATGGGCAACACATACTAGCATTTGACAACACAACCTAATCAATATGTCCTGGTAATATTCAGACATATACTTTTCTCATAATCATAAAGAAGTAATGACCTTTTATCAATCTGACACACATTTAAAAGTGATTCTTACCAAATAACAATGTTTTGAACAATAATTCAACAATACAATAGAATAAACCATTTAGAGTTCTCAAAAATAGTTGGATATTAAAAAAAATGCCATCTATAAAAGGCAAGATTCAAGTTTTAAATACAGTAGGAACTTTAAAAACCAGTGAGATTAAAAAGACATGTAAAAATATGTCAAAGTATTAACTCTAATAATTTTTTGTTTTAGGTCTTTTTGGAGCATAGTTTTTTTTTCTAATACTTTTCTCTACTTTTCGATTTTTCCTCAATGAGCATTTTGATAAACAGGCAATTTTTTTAAATTAGTAATAAGCTTGAGGGATAGCTTAGCATATATAAAAGCTCAAAATGGAGCTATGAGAATTATGAGATTATTCAGTGCTGGACTTCAGTGCAGTTAAGGACTGTCACCTTGAACCCTCTTCTGAATGATTTGCAAGCCTTGGATTACTTGACATTGGTGTACATTGTCTCTGGGTGTTTTTAGCTTGGTGGTTTTGCCCTGCAGTTGCATGTAACATACTAGTATATTTATTACTTTTGTTGATTAACTGTTAGTTTTCAATTTTCTAACTGTTGGCATTTCACTGCATCCTTGAAGAATTTATCCAGATTTCTTCCATTGATTTTGTTATTTTGTTCTCTTTCACATCACATGCCCAGCAAAAACAGATTATCACAATATTTATGTAAGAGTCTACTCTAGGTCCTGTTATTTTTTTTCTTTTCCCAAGTACTATATAACGTGTAGCACTTTTCTGGAAAAATGTAGGCATATAAAACTCTGGATTGTGAAGGGTGTTTTTGGAGGAGGGCTGCTGTCAGAGAGAGAGAAAGGAGAGAACATAAATAGAAAGCACTGAAGAGAGGGAAGCAAAAGAGAATGATGAGGGAAAATAGACAAATGATTTCCATTTGGTATTTCTGTTATGTTTATGTGGTAAATTCTCTTGTCTTCAGTCCAAATAGTGGTATGTAGATGTGTGTTCATGAAATAGTTGGTCCTATAATTGTGCTGGAAACACTGGTGGCATAGTGGTTAAGAGCTACTGCTGCTATCAAACAGGTTGGCAGTTTGAATCCACCAGGCGCTCCTTGGAAACTGATTGGGCAGTTCTACTCTGTCCTATAGGGTTGCTATGAGTCTGGACTCGACAGCAACGGGTTTGGTTTTTGGTTTTATAATTGTGCTATACCTGGGCTCAAAGTAAACATTAATGTATTAATTAGGCTTGACTTGTTCTTTGTTAATCGAACACAATTATTCTGAAAACTAACTTGTGTACCTTATCTGTTTTAAGCCTTTTCTTACCAGCTTCTTATCTTCTAGAATCATAAGTAAATGATGTATATTGTGAAATAATTTATTATGCCCAAATAATATTTACTGTAGTATAGTTTTTATTACTTTTACCACCCATAACTGAATGAGAAATGCAACTGGTTCCTCCATAACAAAGATGTAAGTGTGAATTATATATTCAATGCTAAAACATTTTACAAAACAGCTATAGAAAATGAGAGACTTATAAGAAAATCTTAATATAACCTTAAAATCTCAAATCCTTATAACTTGGCAAAGTCCACATATGAAAAATTATTAGATTCTCTTGAATTCCAATAGTCTATTTAGCAGTGTGTAAAAGGGTTTGTACTTTATTCCACATACTAATGTGCCATGTCATTTAGAGACTCTGAAAGAAGGATATTGATAATAGCCTCTGAATATGAAGTTAGATTTTAGTAAAGGTTTTAAAGTGAACCAGTACATCTCAATGAAACAAATCTATGAATCCTACTGAGTGTCGAACAATAACCTGATGTCTGTAATTTTCTTGAGAGAAGGTATAGCATTAAAACAGATTTGAGCATGTGTTTCTTGATTGTGCTTTTATATACAGAAGTCAACTAGGTACATGGGCCTGAATGTTTCATCTCATTTAGGAAGAAGTTCTGCATTAGGATATGGTGGCGGTGCTAATAGTGATTATTCAAGAAAATCAGACAGACAAACCATTTGCTGTTGAGTAAATTCCACCTCATAGTGACCCTATAGGACAGAGCAGAAGAGCCCCATAGGGTTTCTAAGGAGTGGCTGGTGGATCTGAACTGGTGAACTTTTGGTTAGCAGCCAAACTCCTAACCACTGCACCACCAGGGATGCTTATTCAAGAAAGTGGCAGGGAAAAAGATAAAACAGTTTAGGAGTTTAATATTTGTTTTATAAATGGATGAGAATAAACTGATACCTTCATTATTGTCTGGTTTGGCCACTCTCTCCGTGCTGACTTACCAAACTATGGGTTCTTGGATTGGAAGTTTCACTCTGGTACAAATGGCTTAAATCCAACCAAAAGATTAATCTGTGCAATAGGTACAATAATGGAACTACCAGTTTGGCAGCTATTTCAATCCAAGTTCAATGTCATTGCTCTCTCTTTTTTTTCCTCCCTCCAGCATACTTTTGTTCTATACTAGGCGCTATGTATCTGAGGTATGGAGATGGACAGAGAGCAGTGTTAAGGAAAATGCAAGTTTATACTTTGAAACTGTGTAAGTGTATACGTTTTCTATAAAACAGTATGGATTGGAAAAGGTAAATGGTATTAAGGAGTAAATGGAGAGGGATCAGAGTAAAACTGGAAAGGGAAAAAGTCATTACCAATGAAAAGCAAAGGAACAAAATTTTAAAATGAAAGCATCAAAATACCGTCACATTTTTAAAAGGGATTGGGGTAAAGGCTCATGATCCTTAAAGAAGGTAGCAAAGAACTTATTAAGTGCTCGTCAAATGTGATCTATTATTATTATTATCTGTCATAATCTTCTTGACATAAATCAAACAGATATTTTAATTGATCTTAATTTTTTGATAGCTAGATATATGCATGTGAAAGCATTTTTTTCTGTTAGAATCTCAAACATTTGTGGTAAATGTTCCCATTTTTATTATTCTAATGTCAAAAGTTGAGTTTGACATACCCCCTAATAATGAAATATTTTACATATGTCAAGTACTTTCTTTAATTTAGACCCTTTATCACAAATAAAGCATAGGGATGCTGCTCTCAAATATCCTAGATAATAAGCATAACATGTATGTTTTTAAAATGTGCATTAAGTAATACTTAGTCTGGTAATTTTTTAAAAAATGAAAACAATCTCACTTTCATGAACCACCTTAGAAATAGCTAGATAGACTTCCATCTATCAGCAATAGAGATCATACTATGGTCAACATTTTAACCCATGTTGAGTATAGGCTACTAAAGAGACAAAGTGAAATTGAAAGACCATGACCACTAATTAGCAATTTGCAAATATTTTAGGGATTTAAAAATTTTAAATTTTAGATGTGTAATAATCTTTTATAATTTTATTTTTCCTCCTTCTCTTCAGATGTGAGGTTAAAAAAAAACAAAAGACAAAACATACAAAAAACACTCTATGAACCTGGAAGAGTGGTCATGATTGATCACAAAGTCATTCATCTCCAACTGCAAAAGTCTATTTTGAACAAATTCCTTCTTGGGTGTATCAGTTATCCATGAACATCATTTTCCTTTTTAAATTAATCTTTGGCCAATATAAGATATAGAACAAATATCTGTTGAACATTTGTATGTGCATTTATTAAGCATTTATTAAGTGGTAATTAGTGTTTCTCATCGTGCTAGGTGCTGGGATTTCAGGGTGCAAATCATCATGACCCTCTAAAAACTCACAATCGGTGGGAGTCAGGTATGTGCAGAAACAATCTTTATGGCAAACAGTCTGAGGGCTGTTGAGTAGAGAAGAGAAGCAGATGATTGGCAGAATAACAGATTTCATAAACCCAGAATCCACCTATTTTTTAGATTTAGTTGGTGAAATGAGAAATAAGCATAGGAAAGTTAAATAACAGTTCAAAGCTCCATATAATAAGTGAAGCTGAATACTGCGCTCGATAGATTCTGCAGAAGTTCAGAAGGAGAAATCCTTTCCATCTATGAAAGTCAGTGCCAGGCATTACAAGAAAGAAATGGAATTTGACAAGGCAGAGGATAGGGGAGGGAGTTTAAAGTAAGATGGAAGGCTACAATGCCTCTCAGGCAAGGTGAATTGAATTCATCACTTTGATCTTCCCATGAAGATTTTGCTTCGCTGCAGTGAGTGTTGGTGACAAGTTTTGCAGAGAATCTGTGTGTTCGTCACGGTGGTACAAAAAAAATTAACAATAATCTGGGAATCAGGAAGTTCCCTTTCTGTGCACTGGTTGACATCACTTACTATGTGTGTGACATTTGAACCATTCACCTATGAGATGAGGATACTATTGAATATGCTTATGTCACTTACAGGCTTGTTATATCCCTGAAGTTGGATAATGGATTTGAAAATTTTATATACATTTTAATGTATTATTATCGTTTTCTTTAAAGCAACTTTGGCCCATATAGACATAGTCAAGATGCAAGCTTGCTGATTCTCCTTTCCCTTGCTGGACCCCACCAATGCAGTCTCTTGCTTTCCCTAATTGTTATCATGTGAGTATCATTATTATACTGAAAAACACAGATTTTATTCTGTACTGCATTTACAAACCTGTTGCTGTCAAATCGATTCCGACTCATAGCGACCCTATAGGACAGAGCAGAACTATTTCCAACGCGTGGCTGTGGATTCAAACTGCCAACTTTTTGGTTAGCAGCTGAGCTCTTAACCACTGCTCCACCAAAGCTGAGCTGGAATCAACTTACTGGCAACAGAATGCATTTACAATATGGATGGGCCCTACATTTACCAGAGTTGGGTGCAAAATTTCATTTCGAAATACAGTTTGTTGTAATTTCTAGGATGCCCTTTTAAGTCCCTGTGATAGGTATTATATGCATTTTACTGATATGGAAACAGAATTAAGTTATATAATACAAGGCTCATTAATAGCAAAGTTACAATACAATCTGAATTCCTGAATCCCATTCTATTATTTTGTCTGACTGTATAAAGAAATATACTGATGTTTTAAGTACTATGTTTAAAAATGGAAAGTACTGTCACTGAGAACCACTTGTAATTGCATATTACTTGCTATTTACTTTAGCTAATCCAAAATATTAATTTCCCTATGGGAAAGATTAACGTTCATAAGATACATTAAAGATCCTTTTGGTTTATCATATCTCTGGAGAGTGTAAGTCTAATGTCTTTACGGATAAATTAAGTTTTAATTTAGTTTTAAATGTACTTTCCATTAATTTGCATTATACATGTTTATTTTTCTGTTTATTACATGTTTTTATAGATGCTGTAACCTTTGCTTCTGTTACATAATTAAAAATAAACATCTAATTGTTCTCCATTATAATTACTTAACTCTTTAGATCAATGTTTGATGACGTATCAATTGTTTTAATGACATAATTTTTATATATAGCTAGTACAGAGCCTTAAAAAATTAAACTACACGGGTTCAAAATTAATTACTTCAGGTCTCATTGTCAATTCTTAAGATCTTATTATTTTTTTTTTCAGTTTTATTGTTTTAAGTTAAAGTTTGCAATGCAAATTCATTTTTCATTAAACAAACTTATACACAAAATTGTTTTGTGACATTGGTTGCAATCTCTGCAACGTGTTGGCACTCTCCCCCCCTTTCCCTTTCCACCCTGGGTTCACGGTGTCCATTTGTCCAGTCCTGCCTTTTCGTCTTTGCTTTTGGGCAGGGGTAGCCCGTTTGGTCTCCTATACCTGACTAACCTAAGAAGCATGTTCGTCAGGTGTGCTGTTGTTTGTTTGATAGGCCTGTCTAATCTTTGGCTAAAAGATGGACTACAGGAGTTGCTTCAGTTCAGCAGGGTGTCCAGAGGCCATAATCTTGGGGTTCCTTCAGTCTCTGTCAGACCAGTAAGTCTGGTCTTTGTGAATTTGAATTTTGTTCTACTTTTTTCTCACACTCTGAGACCCTCTATCGTGATACCTGTCAGAGCAGTCGGTGGTGGTAGCCAGACACCATCTAGTTCTTCTGGGCTCAGGCTGGTAGAGGCTGTGGTTTATGTCGTCCATTAGTCCTTTGGAATAATTTAATATCTTATTATTAAGCATGAATAAATAGGTAGATAGATAGACTCATGGAGACATTATGTAAAACAAAATGAAACATTGCTTGGTCCTGCATCATCCTCAAAATTGCCGGTATGTTATTGTCTGTTATTGTAGCTCTTGTGCCAGTCCATCTTACCGAGGGCGTCCTTCACCCTTGCTGGCTCTCTACTTCATCAAACATGATGTCCTCCTCCAGGGACTGATCCCTCTTGATGCCGAGTCCAAAGCAAGTGAGTTGGACAATATTCTGTTGCTATCCATAAAGTTTCATTGTCTAATATTCAGAAGTAGATCACCAGGACTTTCTTCCTAGTCTGTCTTAGTCTGGAAACTCTGCTGAAACCTGTCCATCATGGATGGCACTGCTAGTATTTGAAATACCAGTGGCATAGCTTCCAGCATCATAGCAACATGCAAGCCACCACAGTCCGACAAATTGACAGACAGGTGGTGGAATTATGAATAGAACATTATTAAATATTATTTTCCGGATGTTACCACAGACAAGATTGATAATTATGTCCAATGTGGAAATTCAATTGCAAAGCTTGACATCTATGACAAAATTGGCTGCAAAAAAGTTATTTACCTCAATGATTTCTAATTGTTACTAGGATTATAAATTTATCATTTTATAGAAGTCAGCCTGATCCATGTGCTAAACTATATATTGAAAATTATTGAAGTAAGATGTATAATCTACTTTTGTGGGTAATTTTCTAGCCATGCTTGACCAGGCTTATTAGAAGGTAAGTTTAGTAAAATACATCCAATTTAGATTTAGGTATGATTACATTAAAATATAAATTTTTTTAAAAATGTAGTTATATTTATTAGTGCCATTTGAACTAGGTAAATGAGAAAGTCTCATCCACCTATCTTTTACCACTGACCTAGAGACTCATTTTAAGGGATTTGTTGAAGTGATTAGTAATTAACATATATGTGGAATGTCTGGAATATATGGCAAGGGAAAGTTGGGGGTCAGCCATTAAAACAAGGTCTAAACAAAATCTTTTATGGGGTCTTAGGACATAAACTGGCAGTTGTGGTGTGAGAAGAGCATTCTCTTTTCTGACATATGTAGAAATTATTGTTTTGGTTTTGGTAGATGCAATTCATTTGCAAAATGGTGATTACAGAACTGGCTATAGTTTAATTATAATGGCCTATATGAGTGTGAAATGTGGCTTTTTTATATGAATGGTTTTTTGAGGGAAAAATCAAGCCTTTCCAAGATTAATGATAAAAACGATTGCAATGTATTCAGTAAAAATATAAAGTGCCTTATAACTATGTTGTTGTTGTAAGTTGCCGTCGAGTTGATTTTAACTCAAGGCAGCCCTATGTATGCAAATAGGGTTTTCAAGGCTGTGATCTTTTGGAAACAGATTACCAGGCCTGTCTTCCAAGGCACCTCTGGGTGGGTTTGAACTGCCAACCTTTCAGCTAGTACTTAAGTGCTTAACCATTTGTGCCACTCAAGCATTCCTCCCTATAGTTGTATTATATATTAATTAATATTTGTGTATGTTAGAGATGCAAATTATAAATATAAATATTATATTCATAATTAGGGAATATAATTAGCTTTTTTTTTTTAGCTTTGTATTAGTTTTCAAGGCAATATACTTTCTCTTCTATCCTTCATGAAACCTAAATTCACGGAGTTGGTTTACTTATGCTGCATAATTTACTGACTTAAATAATTTTTGTAAACTTGTTTTAATTATTATTACCTATTGTAACCTATCAGTAAGAGTTGTAAGACCAAGGATCAAGATATGTTTTATAGTTTTATTATTTGTTGCATATCTTTGAGTGTGATTTTTATTAAAATAATTATTCTAAAAGCTAATGAGTAAAAAAGACATAGCCTTCTGGGGCATTATTAATCTCTTTTCACACTTTAGTTTTTGGAAATATAAGTACTAATGAAAATCTGCTTTTAGAATTTAGGGTATATATTTTTTGTAAACAAAGCTGAGTAATTTTGGTAGACTCAATGTTTCTAAAGAAATAATGCTTGTGTATTTCATTAATCACACATTCCATCTAAGATGCATATACATAATAATACATAATCCTTTTGCAATTCATTTTTACATTCACTTGTGGTTTACTCTAATGCTAGTGTGGTTTCCTTTGTGAGCTAAAAGAAGAAACACAGAAAGTGAAGAAAATCTATGCTTCCTTGGTAAATGTTTCCAGACACTTCTGTAGGAGCTTTTATAGAAACTTGTGAATAACATAGCAAAGATAAAACAAAAATATTGATCTAAAAGGATAAAACCTAGATCTCTGTTTTCAGTGTGCAATGAGACTAGCCAAGCAGAATTTACTGACTGTGAAAGATAGTCATTCAGCGGCTGTGAGAGAACAACTTTAAAGGGATGTTAACCAAAGAAAAGTCTCCCCGGTATGCTGACAAGGAAAAGAGGAGGGAAGGAGGTAGTTTCAGACATGCTGCTGGGCTAGTATGATAAATGATTCCCCATCAAATATTATATTACTTCTTTCCATCCAGTCTTAAGCATCCTGTAGTAATACTACAATCTCAGAAATGTAAGATTAAACAATTCATATAGAGGAGATAACAGGGTTGTTCCTACTGCTCTAATATGAAGATTAAAACTAGGCATTAAAAATTTCTGATGCAGGATTATCATGTGAGTTGTGAAGCATTTTACTTTAAAATGATGACTTCTAAGATATACTGGATAAGCAGTCTTCATATTTAGCAATTTTTAGAGCGTAACCGCAGATTGTATTTTGTCTTAAATATTTTCTTCCATTTGTCAGAATGATAACCTGAGATGGTAATAAGGATTAAACTATTAGAAGTATCAAGAAAACCAAGTGTACTTTGAAATAAAATATTAAAATGGAACACAACAGTTGTGTTAATCACTTTATTAAAATTAGTCTTAGTCTATAATCACAATGTAAAATGTGATATTCTACACAGTTGATTCTTAAAGTGCTTTGACTTTCTAGCCTGGAATGAGAATAATTATTTGAAGGACACACTTCATCCTAGATTATCATAATGCCTGCTTTTAGAATCCTAAGAATGTAAGAGTATTAAGATATTGTGCAGGTCTGAGTTGAACTCTAGGGAGGATAGGTCAACCATCCAACTACCCCAGGAAAGAGTCCACCAAAGTGGTCATAACTTAGAACCCTTTTATTCTACTTCAAAATACTGTTTTTCTGAGGATTTGAGGTTATTCTTAGTGAATAGACAATCCAACTGGAGTGAACTTTTGTACCAAAATAAGAATAAAACAAAACAAAAACATATGTTCCCCCGGAAACTAGTGAATCTTTTAAAGGACAGGAACCAGTATACAATCTTGAAGTCTGGTCTCTTGACAGCTGGTAATCAACAGAAGCTAGCAGTCCCACTGGGGCTGGTGTTAATCTCGTTCTTTTGATACTGAGCTGCATTTTGAAACTCCGCACCAGCTGCTCTTTCAGAAACATGCGTTCATGCAACATTCTTGCCTTGAGATTGCGTACTTGCACGTGTTAATGCTGTGAGAGCAGATTGAACATCCCGTTTTGGAGTGATGCCCTGGTGGCGCAGAGATTCCGAGTAAACTCCTGTTGGTGCTTGGCACATGTAAATTTATTTTGTAGCCAGAATATGTCCTTAATATAACTTGCTGGGATAAGTATAAAATTAGTCACACCAGCATTTGGTGGCTTATTTATTTTATTGGCAGGAAAGGCATAAACTAATGAACCTGGAAAAGCCACTTACCTTTTTTACTTCTGATTTAACCAAAGCAAAGTCGACAAAAGGCTTAATTCCTTCCTCAGAAGCTTTCCAATACCAAAACTTTCTCAGAATCAAACCTAGAAATAAAGCCCCTTAGAATTGTCCTTAAAACGTAATATTGTAGCCTTACTGATAAATGAGTCTTTTTAGGAGAAAAGACTGCTCTCAATTTCAGTTTATATTCTTCTTGTCCTTTCACAAAGTGATGACAAGTAGCTACGCTAGGTGTTAGGAATATGGTTCCTAAATCTGGTTCTTCATCTTAAACAGAAAATAATTTGTTATTATTGTTGTTCAGTGCTGTTGAGTTGATTCCTACTCATAGTGACACTATTTACAACAAAACAAAGCACTACCCAGTCCTGTACCATCCTCACAATCATTGCTGTGTTTGAGCCCATTGTTGCAGCCACTGAGTCAATTCATGTCATTGAGGGTCTTCCTTTTTTTTGCTGACCCTCTACTTTATCAAGCATGATGTCCTTCTCCAGGGACTGGTCCTTCCTGATAACAAGTCCAGGCTATGTGAGACAAAATCTTGCCATCGTTGCTTCTGAGGAGCATCCTAGCTGTACTTCCTCCAAAACAGATTTGTTCATTCTTCTGGCAGTCCATGGTATATTCAATATTCTTCAATAACACCATAATTCAAAGTCATTGATTCTTCTTCAGTCTTCCTTATTCGTTGTTCAGCTTTCATATGCATATGAGGTGACTGAAAGTACCATGGCTCGAGTCAGGCACACCTTAGTCCTTAAAGTAGTATCTTTGCATTTCAATACTTTTAAAGAGGTTTTTTGCAGCAGATTCGCCCAATACAATATGTTATTTGATTTCTTGACTACTGCTTCCATGGACATTGATTGTGGATCCAAGTAAAATGAAATCCTTCACAATTTCAATATTTTCTCCATTTATCATGATGTTGCTTATTGGTCAAGCTGTGAGGATTTTTCTTTTCTTTATGTTGAGGTGTAATCCATAGTGAAGGCTGTAGTCTTTGATCTTTATCAGTAAGTGCTTCAAGTCCTCTTTTCTTTCAGCAAGTAAGATTGTGTCATCTGCATATCACAGGTTGTTAATGAGTCCTCCTCCAATCCTGATGTTGCGTTTCTTCATGTAGTCCAACTTCGTGGATTATTTGCGCAGCATACAGATTAAATAAATATGGTGAAAGGATGCACACCTTTCCTGACTTTAAACCATGCAGTATCCTCTTGCTCTGTACAATGACCACCTTTTGGTCTATGTATAGGTTCCTCATTTGCACAATGAAGTGTTCTGAAATTCCCATTCTTCACAATGTTATCCATAATTTGTTATGATCCACATAATCAAATGCTTTTGCATAGTCAATAAAACACAGGTAAACATCTTTCTGGTATTCTCTGCTTTCAGCCAAAATCTATCTGACATCAGCAATGATATCTCTTGTTCCACGTCCTC